ATGCATCCCATGGTGATTTTCCCATTTGTCCCATGGTGGTTGCCCCATTTGTCCCATAGTGATTGTCTCATGCATCCCATGGTGATTTTCCCATTTGTCCCATGGTGGTTGCCCCATTTGTCCCATGGTGATTGTCTCATGCATCCCATGGTGATTTTCCCATTTGTCCCATGCTGGTTGCCCCATTTGTCCCATGGGGATTTTCCCATGCGTCCCATGTACATTGTCCCTTGCATCCCATGGTTATTGTTCCAATTCAATTGTTCCTTGCGTCCCATGGTGATTTACCCATGCCTTCCATGGTGAGTGTCTTGTGCATCTCATGGTGACGGGCAAAGTTGCAATCATCAAATCAATATTCCATTCCAAACTGTGTACTGCAGTTCATGCCAATGCTGCATTTTAATGGCAGCAGCTAATGTGGTTTACAATACAACAAAGCCTCTTGGTGTACCTGTGTAGATGCCATATCAATGCAAATCCCAGTGTTCTCTTGATGATTGCAAAAATAAGAATAGTGTTTGTGTGGCGTTTCTATGGTGTCCGCATACAAATCACATTGTATTCCCACGTAGAGTATAAAAGCCCCATGGTGCTCCCATGCTTATCATAAAAAACCCCATGGTGTTCCCATGCTGATTATAAAAACCCCATGGTGTTCCCATGGTGATCTTAAAAGCCCCATGGTGTTCCCATGCTGATTATAAAAACCTCATGGTATCCACAAAATGTCCCATGGTGATCACTTCAACCAACATTTTTTGCCCGTCCCATGGGGTCCCATGGGCAGCCCATGGGATCTGCATGGGACATTTTTGTAAGGGATGTTACATATTTAGGCTTTGCTTGGGAACTACAAGGTACAAGCCAATTAATGGCTAGAAGATTGGCGTCCATCACGGGAATGATTGTATCCTTTTCTTGCGTCGTAAGAAATATCGCAGAAAACATTGGGATGATGAATTTTTATTACCAAGCAACAGTAAAGCAATAGAAGAACTGTTTTTTTGGAGGAAAGAATTGTCCAACCTGAACAAACATTTGCTTTTTGATTACTCCATTCCGCAGGTTCTGGTTTATACAGATGCAAGTCAGTCGGGGTGTGGTGCACGGATGTTTAAAGCACAAAAAATGGAATTTCAACAAAATTGGTTAGAGGTTGAGAGAAGAGTTCCACATGGCGTGAGTTAAAAGGGGCATCCCTTGCGATCGGAGCATCCGGTTCAGTGCTCAAGGGGAAAACAGTGCTTTTACGTACAGATAATAAAGGGGTCATGTCTATAGCTGCCAAGGGTAGCATGGTTCCAGAGTTACAGAAAATAAGTCTAGATCTGTGGTATTTCTGTAACTGCAACAATATTAAGCTAAAGGTTGAGTGGATCCCTCGTCAGGAGAATGTGGAAGCGGATTGTCTTAGTAAGTTGGTGAATTTAGACGACTGGGAGTCTCCCAAATATTTTCCGACTTCTTAGATGGGTTGTGGGGTCCACATAATGTAGA